CCGCGGACCCCAGGGCCGGGAGGCCAGGCCGCTAGAGACGAATTAAGAGGAACCGTGGGCACCTGGCCGGTGCGGGACGGGTGCGAGGGACCCAGCTCTGTCCCTGGAGCGGGGCAGCCACGGGACCCAGGGGTGGTTTAGACAAAGAGCAAGCAGGATAGCCAGCCGGAGGTACAAGCTCGGGCACCGAGCTCCCGCGTGCGTCCTCTGGGCTGCCATAGCGGGCTACTGCAGACCGGGTGACATGGGCAACAGACATCATGTTCGCGCAGTCCTGGAGGCTGAAGTCCAAGATGAAGGAGCGGGCAAGGTTGGTTTCTCCGACCACTTCAAGGCCTCTCTGCTTAGCTTGGAAGTGGCAGCTTCTTCCCTGTGTCCTCACACGGTCTTCCCTCTGTAGCCCATGTAGCCCAGATGCCTGTGTGTGTCACATGCCCTCTTCCTTACACACACACACAACACCTGTCAAGCCCGGCACCGGTGGCTCAGTGGTTGAGCATGACCAGGAGGTCACTGGTTTGATTCCCTGTCAGGGCACATGCCCAGGATGTGGGCTCATCCCCAGTAAGGCGTGTAGGAGGCAACCAATCAAAGATTCTCTCTCATCATTGATGTTTCTACCCCTTTCTCTCTCTCTCTCTCCCTCTCCCTTTCGCTCTCTGAAATCAATAAAAATACATATTAAAAAAAATATATGCCAGTCAAGCCCTGGCGGGTGTGGCTCAGTGCTTAGGTCATGGGTTCAATTGGGGGGAGGGAGAGTGCATTCAGGTGGCAAACAATGTGTCTCTCTCACATCTATGTTTCTCTCTTGTTTCTACCCCTTTCTCTCTCTCTCTCTCCCTCTCCCTTTCGCTCTCTGAAATCAATAAAAATACATATTAAAAAAAATATATGCCAGTCAAGCCCTGGCGGGTGTGGCTCAGTGCTTAGGTCATGGGTTCAATTGGGGGGAGGGAGAGTGCATTCAGGTGGCAAACAATGTGTCTCTCTCACATCTATGTTTCTCTCTCCCTCCCTCTCCTCAGTCAGATAAGGATCCACCCTAATGGCCTCATTTAGCCTTACTCACCTCTGTGAAAGCCCTGCCTTCAAATACAGTCACATTCTGAGGTCCTGGGGTGGGGGGGTTGGGAGAGCACAATTCAGTCTGTTACAGATCCCACCCTCCTCCTGGGTGTTTCCCCTCCACTCTCACTACTGCCACACTGCCAACGCCTCTGGCAGCAGCTGTGTGGGTTCCTCCCCACGCCAAGTAATTCTCTGACACCAGCTCAGTGTCCTAAAACTCACTTCCAACACTAACCAGAGTTAGAACATACCCCACAGGCTAAGGGCTCAGTCCCAGGAGACTTCCCCCATTTTCAGATGCCAATTGCAGACAGTGGGACCAAGTTTACCCATAATTTCTATTGACTTGACTACAACACGTAAGTTCCTATGACCACCACACATTATTTGCTAGAACAGCTCACAGAACTCAGGGAAATATAATAAAAGATACAGTCCTAACCGGTTTGGCCCAGTGGATAGAGCGTTGGCCTGCGGACTCAAGGGTCCCAGGTTTGATTCCTGTCAAGGGCATGTACCTTGGTTGTGGGCACATACCCAGTTGGGGGGTGTGCAGGAGGCAGTTGATAGTTTCTCTCTCATCGATGTTTCTAATTCTATCCCTCTCCCTTCCTCTCTGTAAAAAATTAATAAAATCTATTTTAAAAATAATAAAATATACAGATAAACAGCCAGACACATCGGGTGAGATCTGGAAGGGTCCCAACCCAGCACAAGAGCTACTGTCCATGTAGAGTTGGGGCACCACCCTCCCGACATGTCAAGGCTCACCAACCCTGAAGCTCTCTGAACCCCATACTTCTGGGATTTTTATGGTGGCTCATCGCATCGGCATGACCAGTTACTAACTCAATCTCCAGTCCCTCTCCCCTTCCTGAAACGTGAGCTGTGGGGCTCAAAGTTCCAAGATGCTAAATCATGGTCTTCTGGGTGGCCAGCCCCCATCCCAGAGGTATCAGGAGCCCCCTCAAAGTCGCCTCATTAGAACAAAAGACACTCCTCTATGACCCAGGAGATCCCAAGGGATTTAGAGCCAGCCCTATGTCAGGAACTGTGGGGAGAGACCAAATAGAGCCAAAGATGCCCTTAGTGCTCTCATCACTTAGGAAATTAAAAGGGTTTTAGGAAGTCTGTGCCAGGAACTAGGAGCAGAGACCAATACATATATTTTCTATTATTTCACAGCCCACCCCCTGGCCTCTGGCCACAGAACACTGACAGCAAAATGATGTACGACTCAAAAGATATTGGCACATTGCTAGAACCCACACAGTCATTCGTATTCGTTTCAGTTAGTCATCATGTCATATGAAAACGTCCCCCAGAACGAGGCCTCTCAGGTTTGCAGGCTTCCATTCAACCTAGCAAAAGCCGGGGTTCCAAAAGCAGAGTGGTCCCAGCAAACATGGGTACAGCCTCTCAGGTATCTGATATGCTCGTGCCAAGACACGCTATCATCTCTTGCTCTGAGCTTCTTTCGAAGTTTTAATGTAACACTGGTCTCTCATTACATAACCCATTAGTTCATAACTTTTCCCTTAGCTCAGCGGATCTCAACCTGTGGGTCGCGACCCCTTTGGCGGTCGAACGACCCTCTCACAGGGGTCGCCTAAGACCATCCTGCATATCAGATATTTACATGACGATTCATCACAGTAGCAACATGACAGTTTTGAAGTAGCAACGAAAATAATTTTATGGTTGGGTCACAACATGAGGAACTGTATTTAAAGGGCCAGAAGGTTGAGACCCACTGCCTTAGCTGCTGTTTCTCCTCTTTATTTATGCCCAGACTCTTACACTGTTGGAAGAGACATCAGGTCTGGCCGTTGTGCTGGCCTAGATTGCAGCAGCAACACTAGTCTCGCAAGTGCCTCCCCTTCAACCCACTCCCGTTCACGTGGGGTGAGGTTACACCGGTGCAGACCTTGTGAGCTGTTCCTATCACCAGGTATGCAGCTGCATTCACTGTGAACACCAGTTTTTGGCAGGTGGAGCAGATGAAGACACATCTTGCTCCACCAGGCCCTTAGGATTTCTCTCATAAGGTTTAAAATATAGTTGCAAACTCTTATTGAGGAATCATTGCTGTTTCAGGCACTTGCATTTGCAGCCCTGGTTATACGACCACTGAATCGGGTATGAAAAAACAGTTAAGGTGATGTGGGGAAGAAGAAAGAAAAAGGTTGAGTCGTTATACCACCATCTTCTCCTCTTGGGAAGAATGGCAGTGTCTTACCAGCATAATTCTCCCCCCGCTCCCCCCAGATCAAGTGGGGAAACCCCTTTAGCCCCACTCATGTTCCTATTGCCTCCCTCGGTCATACACACACATGCTGAGTGTGAGCACACACTCATGAAGGTGTGTAAGCCTTTATCTCCTTTCATTTTAGACAATAAATGTCTCGATTGCCCCTTCCAATTCTCTATCAAATAGAACTCTGAGAAGGACATCTCTGCCCATTGCTGGACATCAGGGCTATAAAGTGTGGTCCTTGGCCTGAAGAAACGACAATTGGCCATAATAATCAGTGCACTCTCTTCTGTTCTGTTCTGTTGTTGTTGTTGTTAATCCTCCCCCAAGGATATTTTTCCATTGATTTTCAGAGAGAGTGGAAGGGAGAGGGAGAGACAGAGAGAGAAACATCGATGTCAGAAAGACACATCGATTGGTAACCTCCCATACACGCCCACCAGGGGTAGGCATTGAGCCTGCAACAGAGGTATGTGCCCTTGACCGGAATCGAACCCGGGACTCTTCAGTCCACAGCTGACGCTCTATCCACTAAGCCAAACCAGCTAGGGCTGTTCTGGTGCGTGTGTGTTTTAATAACATCTGAGCATTTGCATCTATCGCTGAGTAAGCACAGCCCAGTCCAGACGCAGTGTCTGTTCGGACCAGGACCCATCTTTAGCTCACTCGGGCTACCAGCATCACTCTGACTCGCCAGCTATGATCAAAGCCTTTGCCCCAGGGAATTTGCCCCAGAGCCACTGCCGTCTTCCTGTACGCTCAGTTTATGGTGAGCACACAGAGGTATCTGCTGGCTGATTCTAATCGTCTTCAAGTCTGGAATGGGGTTCTTCAGGTGGACATCTGCATGTCCTACTTTATTCACTCCGCAAGTTCCCACAGGGATCTCCACGGGGACCAAGTTTCCACTGCCCTCCTGCCTGCTCAGATGGCCAGGCCCTTGGTCACTACCCATGAGTTGGTAGAAACAAAAACAGGGAATTTTCCTGTTCAGTTCTTCCATCACTGCTGGGAAAACAGCATGCGAGTCAGCCCACTGAACTGCTCTGTCTTTACCTTCTCTGATCAGAGTACTGGCCTTCCAACCAGGATATTGTCCATTCACCAGGGAACTGCCGGCCACAAACCAAGCAGCTCTTTGTTGGTCAGTTAAGGGCTACGTATAGGGCACTGCCCACATGACAATTGAAGCCCGGAGCTCCTCACTCCATTCCAAAGTTGGTTGTAGGGGGGAAAGGTTCCCTGCTTGCGGGTATGTCTTTGTGTTCCCAGCAGCATGAGCCTGTATAAACCATTTCCATTTCATTATCAAACACTTCTGGGCGCTGCAGTACCCAGTAGAGCATTTCTCTGACATCACCCAAGACACTGTGGGTAGCTCAGGTTTCAAGATCACTTTATGTCCTTCAGTCTATGAGTAGCTTCGATTTATGTCTGATAGCACGGTAGTCAACACCCCCAAAATGAAAATTCTCTTGTCCAACGTACCAGTAGTCGTCACTAGTAGGTGCTCATGGGGTGTTGTAACAGCCTAGCCCGCACTCCACTTGGGTTATGGCACAGAGACAGCTTCTCTTCCACACTTTGTGGGCCCAGGCAGTTGCACAGCTGTCCATTCAGCATGTCCAATTAACGTGGCCAGAAGGGCGCATTTACAAGCCTGTTTAACAAGACTAGGTAGGGAAATGTTCCCGGTTAGATACAATGTCCACCCCGTAACACAATCAGGTAAGAGACACGACTTCCATAAAGCCTGCTCAAACGTACCAATTCTCCTGCTAACTTTTACCTGAATTCCATCAACCCTCACATTTCTAACTGTAGGACCTATTGGGATTTATCAACTGGTCTTGGTTTTACAATAGTAGGTGGGGGAAGTGTGCCCCAGTAGGACATGATATCCATTCCCATAAAACATTAGTAAAAGAAGATACAAC